TTGGGTTAAAAGTTGGAGGCTCGCGAAGAAATCCGGGAAGGGGAAAATTCCTCCGAGGAGCCTCCGGGAGCCGCCCCCGGGCGGGGCCTGAAATTCGATCCCGGGAACCCAAAATCCCGATCCGCGGAAAATTCCGGGAGCGGGATCCGGAACTGGGACCAGTTTAATCCCAAACTGGGATTGGTTCATTCCCAAACTGGGACCGGTTCAGTTCCCAAACTGGGACTGGTTCATTCCCAAACTGGGACCGGTTTAATTCCCAAACTGGGACTGGTTCATTCCCAAACTGGGACCAGTTTAATCCCAAACTGGGACTGGCTCAATCCCAAACTGGGACCGGTTCAGTTCCCAAACTGGGACCGGTTCAGTTCCCAAACTGGGACTGGTTCATTCCCAAACTGGGACCAGTTTAATCCCAAACTGGGACCGGTTCAATCCCAAACTGGGACCGGTTCAGTTCCCAAACTGGGACCGGTTTAATTCCCAAACTGGGTCCGGTTCAATCCCAAACTGGGACCGGTTCAGTTCCCAAACTGGGACCGGTTCAATCCCAAACTGGGACCGGTTCAGTTCCCAAACTGGGACCGGTTTAATTCCCAAACTGGGACCAGTTTAATTCCCAAACTGGGTCCGGTTCAATCCCAAACTGGGACCGGTTCAGTTCCCAAACTGGGATTGGTTCATTCCCAAACTGGGACCGGTTCAGTTCCCAAACTGGGACCAGTTTAAATCCCAAACTGGGACCGGTTCAGTTCCCAAACTGGGACCGGTTCAGTTCCCAAACTGGGATTGGTTCATTCCCAAACTGGGACCGGTTCAGTTCCCAAACTGGGATTGGTTCATTCCCAAACTGGGACCGGTTCAGTTCCCAAACTGGGACCGGTTCAGTTCCCAAACTGGGACCAGTTTAAATCCCAAACTGGGACCGGTTCAGTTCCCAAACTGGGACCGGTTTAATTCCCAAACTGGGATTGGTTCAATCCCAAACTGGGACCGGTTCAGTTCCCAAACTGGGACCAGTTTAATTCCCAAACTGGGACCGGTTCATTCCCAAACTGGGATTGGTCCAATCCCAAACTGGGACCAGTTTAATTTCCAAACTGGGACCAGCTCAGTTCCCAACTGGGACCAGTTTAATTTCCAAACTGGGACCGATTCAGTTCCCAACTGGGACCGGTTCATTCCCAAACTGGGACCGGTTTAATTTCCAAACTGGGACCAGTTTCATTCCCAAACTGGGACCGGTTCATTCCCAACTGGGACCAGTTTAATTCCCAAACTGGGACCGGTTTATTCCAAAACAAGGACCAGTTTAATTTCCAAACTGAGACTGGTTCAATCCCAAATTGGGACCGGTTTAATTCCCAAACTGGGATCGGTTCATTCCCAAACTGGGACCGGTTCAATCCCAAACTGGGACCGGTTCATTCCCAAACTGGGATCGGTTCATTCCCAAACTGGGTCCGGTTCAATCCCTAACTGGGACCGTTTTAATTCCCAAACTGGGACCAGTTCAATCCCAAACTGGGACCGGTTCAATCCCAAACTGGGATCGGTTCATTCCCAGTTGGATCCACACCAGGGACTCTTCCTCTTCCCTCATTTTTTTGGGAAAATTCCTGGGATTTTGGGTTGATTTCTCCATTGGAGAGGCCACTCCCACTTGGATTCATCTTGGAATTCG